TCCAACAAAAGAAAAAAAATCTAAAGAAAGGAGTGAAATAAAAATAAATATCCAAGAAAGTGAGGACTTAAAAGAAGTCAAAAGAAAGGGGTGAAATAAAAGAAAAACTCCAAGAAATAAGGACTCAAAAGAAGCCAAAACAAAGGGGGTGAAAAAAAGAAGAGAAAAGCTCCAAAAAATGAGAATTCAAAATGTGGAGGACACTAAAGAGGATCTAATGCCAAAGGCGTATCAATCATTAAGTGCACGAATTCAGTGTGATGCTCAAGGAGAAATTAAGTCTCTCTTACCCCAAATAAATATCCTACTCATCCCTAAGCCTACATTACAAGCCAATGACAAGCCCTACATGATCTCGTTCGAGATGTTCTCACATTAGTGGAGATTTACATAAGGTTCAAGCATATGACATTACATTTGGATGCATTGAAAGTTCTTGTGAGTGTAAGTGCACTTTGAATAATGTTCTAAAATTAAATATTTCAAATATGTGTGAAATAGGACCAGTCTTTGTCGTAAGGGCACTTGAAACATGAGGATTGATACAATTCAAAAGTTGTGTTTGAAGTAAGAAGAACGAATCTTGTTGATCCTTAAGTAGGTTTGAGGTACCACTTGAAGCTGTAGGAATTACCTTGAATTCAATCTTAATTAGAAAAAGAAAAAAATGAGAGATTTCTCTGCAATCCTAATTGTTGGTACCAATTGTAGTTAAGATTTGATTGTCTTCTGACATTATTTTTTTTCAAAAAGAGAAGAAAAAAAAAGAGTGAACCGACATCCACTATTTAATATTTTTTTCGAACTTTTTAGAGTCTTTCCATTAAAAATGAATTGCCTTTTTCAGTTGTTCATGGTAAAAATTGTCATTAGGTCAATCTTGTATGTGTGAGAGTCCTATTTTACTTAATTGGACTATCCGTTTAAAAAATGTGATATATCTTGTCTTTAGAGTTTTAATTAGAAAGGAATATCATTTTTACATTTCATCATGTTCATATTATGCATTTTTTATTGATATCTCTCAGATTCTTTGCGGTATTCATCATCTAGAGGATTGAAACTTCATTTGACTTGATTCCTGACTCAATAGGATATGTAGGCGCCATGAAGACTTGGTCATATACTCATGTGATTTTTCTCTCCATGTAATAAACACTGGATAGAATTTCTGAGAATATCTAAAAGATTCACAATAAAGATGCTTTCTCTAACAAGTCAAGATGGAAGATCTTTTTTGAGATTTGCCAAAAGTTTTAACTGGACAGAATTTTTGAGGAAGACATCAATAATTTCAACAAGTACTGTGAGAAGCTTGATAGTCAATACCAAATGATCCATCATCGCTTGAATTTCAAAGTCAACTTGCCAATCTTCAGCATTTTTATTGCGAGCCAGGAACTCCTCGTACAAATCCCCAATAAAACATGATTTTCAAAGAACATAAGACGTTCAAGAGCAAAATGATGATTGTTCACTTGTGCCATGGTGACAAACACTTTGTTCATATTCTCTTTTGATTCTTTCCTTAAAGTTTTTTAATCATGTTGCTAGCTAAAGCTATATTGTGTCTTCTAACTGTTCCTTTTCGAATACAGGGACACAGAAAAATCAAGATGATGACATTTTCAAGACACACGAGCCATCCACCTCGTATCAATGGAAAATCATTGAATCATCCATCACTTGTATTTTTATTGTATTTTTTATTTGCCGAGAAGGTCATTGCATTTTTCATTTTCACAAAGGATAATTGCTTTTTTTCATTTTCAAAGAGGACAATTGCATTTTTATTTGTCAAGAGGGTAATTACATTTATTATTTACGGAAAAGGTCATTGCATTTTTCATTTTTTGAAAGGATAATTGCATTTTTAATTTGCCAAGAGGGACATTGAATTTCTTTTTCACCAAAAAAAGGTCATGCATTTTTCATTTACCAAAAGGGTCATTGCATTTTTTTTTGTCGAGAGGATCATTGCATTTTTTTACCGAGGTCATTGCATTTTTCATTCGCCAAGAAGGTCATTGCATTTAAGTCGCATCTATTCAGACGTAAACGATGTGCACCCTATCTTTTCAACGTTCAAGTCAGAGGAAACTTGCGTTGAAAGATATTTACATTTAATTCACACCTATTCAAAGGTGAAAAATGTGCACCCTATCTTTTCAACGTTCAAGTTAATGGAAACTTGCGTTGAAAGATATTTGCATTTAAGTTGCATCTATTCATAGGTGAAGGATTTGCATTCTATCTTTTCAACATTCAAGTCGCTTGAAACTTGCGTTGAACATTTGCATTTAAGTCCCATCTATTCGGAGGTGCAGGATGTGTACAATATCTTTTAAACGTTCAAGTCGGTGAAAACATATGTTGAAAGATATTTACATTTAAGTCACACATATAAGGCGGTGAAGGATATGCACCCTATCTTTTCAACATCCAAGTCGGGAAAAACTTGCGTTGAAAGTTATTTGCATTTAAGTCGCATCTATTCGAAGGTGAAGGATGTGCACCCTATCTTTTCAACGTTCAAGTCAGTGAAAACTTGCGTTGAAAGATGTTTTCATTTGAGTCGAATCTATTCGGAGGTGAAGGATGTGCACCTATCTTTTCAACGTTCAAGTCGGTGGAATCTTGTGTTGAAAGAAATTTACATTTAAGTCGCATTTATTCGGAGGTGAAGGATGTGCATCCTATCTTTTCAACGTTAAAGTCAGTAAAAACTTGGATCGAAAGATATTTACATTTAAGTCGCATCTATTCGGAGGTGAAGGATGTGCACCACATCTTTTCAATGTTTAAGTCGGTGGAAACTTGAGTTGAAAGATATTTACATTTAAGTAGCATCTATTCGGCGGTGAAGGATGTGCATCCTATCTTTTCAACATTCAAGTCGGTGGAAACTTTCATTGAAAGATATTTGCATTTAAGTCACATCTATTCAGCGGTGAAGTCTGTGCACCCTATTTTTTCAACGTTCAAGTCAGTGGAAACTTGTGTTGAAAGATATTTGCATTTAAGTCACATCTTTTCGGAGGTGAAGGATGTGCACCTGATATTTTCAACGTTCTAGTCGGTGGAAAGTTGCGTCGAAAGATATTTGCAGTTAAGTCGCATATATTTGGAGGTGAAGGATGTGCACCTATCTATTCCATGTTCAAGTCAAAGGAGACTCGCGTCGAAAGAATTTCTATTCATCCTACCGATGGACATATATTCAAAATCCTGGCGATGAATTATCTTTATTTCATTTGTCCTACCGATGGATATACATTCGAAATCCTCCCGACGGATCATCATCATTTTCATTCGTCCAATCAATGGACATGCATTTAGATCCTACCAATGGATCATCATTTTCATTCGTCCTATCGATGGATATACAATTGGAATCCTATAGATGGATCACCTTTTTGTCATCTTAGCGATGGATCATTATTTTTATTCGTCCTCCTAATGGATCATTTTCATTTGTCCAACCGATGGACATGCAATTAAATCCTATCAATGGGTCTTCTTCATTCGTCCTACCGATGAATATACATTCAAAATCCTGCTGATGGATCATCTTTTTTAATTCGTCATACGATTGACATACATTTAAAATCCTACCGATGGATCATCTTTTTCATTCCTCCTACCGGTAAATATACATTCAAAATCCTGTCGATGGATCATATTTTTATTTCGTCATACGGATGGACATACATTCAAAATCCTATCGATGGATCATCCTTTTTCATTCATCTTACCGATGGACATGTATTAAAAATTTTATCGATGGATTATTCTTTTTCATTATTCTTATCGACGGCATGCATTTTTATGATACCAATGGATCATCTTCATTTTTTCGTATGGTAAGAGACATTGTTTTTGTGTAATTTTGTCTCTACTAATGAGTTTCATTTTTGTTTTTTTTCGAGAACATCCAAGAGGATGCATTCTTAGTGGAGCCACATATGCACACTACTTCAATAAGGACGCAACACAACAAGGATCCTTTTGGAGGAAAGTCTGGGATCGACTTCCATCATATTTCAATTGCTCTTTATATAAAGGTCATGTCTTCGTCCAAAATCGGGTTTATCAATTTTCGTTGTCCACAATTTCTTTCATCAATTATATCTAACAAAAGGGACAACTGTTGACACCCAGTTTTGATCTAACATTTTCAAAATTTGTAACTTTAAGTTTTATTTATTTAATAGTTCAAAGTAATTTTTTTACAATTTTAAAATAAGTATATCGACAACTATACTTGTTCATCAAAATTTAAGTTTTTTTATCAGTTAATTTTAAAATTGCATTCTCTACATATCATTAGTTACATTCAGTATATTTTTTTAATATTCATTTATTTATTATATTTGTTAATGTTTATTTTGATAGTTTTCACAATATAAGAAATCATTCAAATATGCATAAAATTTTAATATACAAATATTTTATCACCAAATGATTTTTGGGCCTAAATTTTGAGCCCGACCCATTGTCTAACAATTTTTTATAAGGCAACTTTCACATATAGCAAATAAAAAATTCATATTTGTATGCTATAACAAAGTTTGCATAATTGTGCTCCATAGCAAACTTAAAATTGTATAATTCGCTGGCCTAAATTGTATAATTCACTGGCCTATTTCGCTGCAATTGTGTTATTTGCTTTGCATATAGTTGAATCGAATTAAAATGTATGTATATTGCATAATTATAAATGTATAGCAAGAAGATATGTGTTTTTCTCGCTTTATACAAAAACAGAAACATAATATATACACTTCTGTTGTATAATGCTAGAGAAAATTATATTTCACTGCAATTGTATAATTCGTTGGTCTTTTTCTCTGCAATATTTAAAGTAAAATGTTTGTAAATTGTATAATTAAGTGTATAACACGAAGATATATATTTTTGCATGTGTATACGCCATTTTCTCTCGCTTTATGCAAAACAGAAACAAAATTATACACCTCTGTGTATAAAGCGAGAGAGCCGAGCGAGAATGGATAGTGGCGAGCCAAATTTCTGGGAAAGAGACGCTGACAAATTTTAACTAACGTTTGCTATGGAGCACAATTAAATCAAATTATAACTATTAAATTTATTTTAGGTTATTAGTTTGTTACAATTTTTTCCCTTTTTTATTTAGGGCTTTATTAGGTCAAAAAATAGATGGTGATTTTTTTTTTTTCTGAAATGAGAAACAATTTCCAAGTAGAAAAACCCTAATTATTTCCTCTTCCATTTTCCTCCCTTAGCATCCACCACCCTAAACCCTCTTCTCCGACCAGCAGCGAAATTCGGGAATAATGACATTCATTTTACACTTTTATCCAGCCAAGCAACAATGAAATCAAACCCCAAAGCCCCCCCCCCCCCCCTTTTTTTTTTTTAACTCTTCTTCACTGTTATCTCGCGAAAAACCCCAATTCCTACGAGCATTGAGCTGACCCAACAACCATGAAGCTACTGCTAGCTCACCACCTGTAAATAACTGGACCAAAACTCCGACCAACGAAGCTAGCTGCTTCCCTTTCCCTCTTTCCTTTCCCGATTTTTTCATTTTTCCACATCTCCAGAGAGCTTCAAGCTCCACAGCCAACTAAACCCATTTCCCACCAAACTCCATTTTTCTCCTTTTTCCGATAAAAAGGTCATGGGAAACAACCCCCAAATCAGATCTCAAAACGAACTAGACCCCACCAATTCTTCTTTCCCTATTGGCGTTTCCGGCGAAATCACAAGCTCAAACTGGTGGAGTGACCGACAACAACCTCACACAACAACGAGCAGCAGTCATGAGCTGTCGAAACCCGCAAAATATCGACGAGTCTCTCACTTTCAGATCTGCCCGGAGGAATACATATTCCGGTAACTCTTGTTGGTCACCTTTTAATTTTTTTTCTTTACTCAACTGTTATTATTTTTCATTGTAGTGGATTGTGTGTTTAAAGATTTAGCTTTGATTTTATTTATATTTGATTTACATTTATGTTATTGTTGATATTTCTGACAACTTTACTTTTATTTTCAGCTTTTCTTTTTATCATATTTGTACTTTGTCGACAATTCTTAGGTTCATTTGTTATGTATTGTTTTAGTTTTTTAATAGTTTCTTTATTTCACTACTTTGAAGTTTATTTCATATTTTATTTGATAGGAAATCTTTTCTATTTTATGTTAGTTATTGGTGCTTTTCTTTTATTGTTAAAATTATTTATTTTATTTTGTTTTTTAAAAAATAATCACTCTCTAATATTTTCTTCGTATGTGGGTTGTTTTATTTGTTATGTTTGATTGACAGTATATAGTTATTATAAAGACCATATTTTGTATATTTTTTTGAACCTAAACGTTTTTATTATTTATTTATTTTGTTATGGCTGCTGGGAATTTTGCTTGTGTTTGTTATCTATTTGATTTTTGTGAGTTTTAACTATGAACTATTTTGTTGCCTTTTTGTTGTACTTTATTCTATTTTGTTCTTATTATCATTTTAATATTGTTGATGTTAGTTGGTGGTTTCATGACACTTTATATCATTAATATTATTTTATTTTTATCTTTCATTTGATTTGGTATTTATATATATTATTTAGTTGTTAAAATGGCCAATAAAAAAATTTTCCCGTTAATTTTGGAGTCCTCCCAATTTTAAAAGACGGAAATTTAGTCAAGTTTATATTATTTACTTGTTCAAATGGCCAATAAGAAAATCTCTCTGTTGGTTTTGGGGGCCTCCCTATTTTAAAAGATGGAAATTTAATTAAGTTTATATTGTTTACTTTTTAAAACGGGCAATGAGAAAATCTCTCTGTCAGTTTTGGAGGACTCCCCATTATAAAAGACGGAAATTTAGTTAAGTTTAATATTGTTTATTTGTAAAATGGAACATTGAGAAAATCTCTCTTTCGATTTTGGAGGTCTCCACATTATAAAAGACAAAATTTAGTTCAAATTTATATATATTTATGTGATAAAATTGGCCGATGAAGAAACTATAATCGATTTCCAAGGTCTGTCATTTTAATAAGGCAAATTTTTATTTTTAAATTGTTATTTAATTCATTTATTTTATCATATATATTTGATACTAACACTTTTACTAAGTGTGTTTCCAGGTAATTCGGAGTTGCTTCTCATCGAAGCAATTCCAATGGAAATCAAATGTATTTAATATTTTCATTATTGTGTATATTATTGACGTTAGAAAAACCTTAAGCCGATACTTAAATTATTATTTTATTTTATTATTTGTGTATATTTCATGTTAACTGTACTTGTATATTGCTTTTCGCCTTCTCAATTTGAAAATATGAATGCACTCAGGACCCATATTTTTGGATTTCGAAATATGGCTAACATCTTCCCTTCGAAATAACTTTAATCCCTTATCTAGAATATAATGGTTTCGTAGATCACTTAATGGTTTCCTAGTTTTTTTCTAAAATAAGGTGGCGATTCATTTAAAATTCGTTTATTCTTAAAAAAATTTTAAAATCAACTTAATTAATTATTTTTTGAGTCACCGCGATGTTTTACCCTATTTGAATAGAGCAGGGATGTGAACACAGCGCTCTCCAAAAATGGGCATGCCGAAGAATATACCAAAGCAGTGATAAGTTATAACGATATAAACATTTCTCAAGTAGGTTTTGGATAGAAAATTGTGTCTATTTGAGGTTTCGGAAGACAATTTCTCCTTTTATTCAAGTTCAACAAAATCCAGAATTCAAGCTCTATTGAAACTAATTAATGTTAAATAGAAACCATTTCTCACAACAAGTTACACTAATTTTTGAAACTCCTCATTGTTCGTTGTTGTCTCAGCCATCTAAACTTCCTGAAGTTTAGATATTTCAGGCTAATCAAACAAAAAGAACTAATCATACTTTCTTATATGACTTAAAAGTAAGCAACAAATAATGTAAACCTCCTCCTTCCATAAAAAAACTACAAAATCTAAACTATTATACAATCATAGACCTTGAAGCTATTGACAATGCAATACAACTAATATCCAAGAAGATGGGAAAATAACATTAATGTTATGAATAACTTCTATTAGTAAAAAGGAAATTATCAATTGAAGTCCAAAGATAAATACTCCTTTTAGAGAGAAGATATGATGTGATGAAATCTTTTGTCTATAAAAGAGAGAGAATTTGTACTAAAAGTGCGTCGGGCAATAAATTGATGTGGTCTAGTATTTCTTCAACTCCATTCTTTAACTTATTGGAATTGAGTGAAGCCATGATTTGTCATTTTTAAAAGGAGGGAAACGAATACTATCTTACAATTAAAAAAGGCATTAATGAAACAATAAATATCTAATACATATTTTAAGGGAAAGTGCAAAATATCTAACAAATACCATTTATTGTCTAAGAAGAGATGCGCACATAATTGACAGTCTATACAATTTAAACTCTTTTACTTGCCGACTGTTATTTGTAGTGCCAATGGACGTGATCCTTATATCAATATACACATAAATACCAGGTTGTAGAAAGTATTGGTGCATAGTCTCCAACTGCGGTAGAAACCTCGCCCAATGGAATGACCACGAAGCTCGTGTCTATTCTTCATAAAGGTTATGTCCAATAGACACAATTTTAGTTTTTGCAACTTGAAAATTCTCAAGTACACTTGCAAAGACCCACTTTAAAGAAGTATCAACCTCAAGAGCAATAAGACCTGATAGAGCTGAAAGTTGTCTAGTTGTCTTAGGATCATATCTTCGTGCTAACATTGTAAATTTGTTCCTACCTTATAAAGGATTCATCTCTCTTTGTTTGGTTTGTAAAAGTCTAAATTGATTAGAATTAACTAATTTAGTGCGCAGTATTGTACCTCATTAATTGAATTCTAAGTTGTTTAGGTATAGAAGTAATAGAGTTATTACTTAGCTTTGAGATTAATAACTTAATCATATTTGTGTTATATCGAAGTTTCACTTTTTCTTGAAGATATTAATGAAAAAAGTTTAAAATCCTATGAGATAGGCCTTGGTTTTACTCCTTTGAGCAAGGAGGTTTTCACATAAATTGCTTGTGTTGTCTTGTGTTTATTGCTTTTGCATTATTGCAATTCTTGCTGAGTCAAGGGACCTGGTCCGTTGACTGATTGTGGACCATACATATTATCACCGATGATATTGATGAATCCAAACTTAACCATAAATGACAATTAATTAACGTGTAAATTCTCAAGAGCATGTATTTACCCACTCTGCTCTCAAGCCAGCAAAAGGGACAACTATGACAAAGTCTAAATGACAATTAACTGATATGTTTTTTATGTTGATTTTATCAGCCCACTACAGTCGACTCTTTTATTCTGAACTTGAGACCAACTATGTGAGATAGCTTAGTACAATTTTTTTACAAAGCAATAACTGGTAAAACGTACATTTTTGCCTCTAAGTTTGTTAAAACCTGAAATAATATAGAGAAAATTTACTAGATAAGATCGTAAGAGAAATTTTCTGAATTGTATATGTATCTATTTCAAAGCTACTGTGTGTTATATATCAGTAGGCAACTCTGAAATTTAAAGAAATAAAAGTGTGTAACTAACTACAGCTGGATAACAACAAATATATATACATGTGCATTTTTACAACAAAACTGGAGAATTTAAAAGAACTGGCCTAAATTAAATTTGTTGAATGATGTGTAGATTTCAAATGAGCCAATAAAGATTAACTTCCGTCCATATTAGTTCCTTTTTTATTCTTCCCTCTTCTGCACATCGTCTTGTTCCTTAATGCTTCTTAGTCAACAGAAACATATAACACCAAAACTCTCACTCGATGTTGCTTTAAGAAAGAGAAATTCAATGAAACCATTATATGTCATAGAATGGTAGCCTAATGTACAGTCCGACAAGAAAATGTATCTAAGAAGAACCTTTTTTTTTTACGACTGATACATAAGGAACCCTTTGTTGGGTGAGAAGGCAAAAATAAATGAAAGAGTTTGAGAAACAAAAGGTTTCTTTTACTGCAAAACTTTCTTACTTAAAAATCAAAACTCCTATTGCCTTTTTATAGGCTTACAATTAACTACTAAAGCTAAAATAAAGCAACTCACAAATAATGGAAAACGTATAGAAAAGTGGTAAACATGGTCCACTACAATGAGAATATAATTTCATTGACTAAGTAAAACATAAACCCACTAATCCTAGAAAATAGACCCACAACCTGATTTCTGCAAACTAGCTATTTTGAAGAAGTAGTCAACACTCCTCCTTTCTTCAAAATCACAAACTCCCATTTGTCGTCTGAAGAAGTCATGCTTGTTGTGGGGCAGCAACTTCGTAAGAACATCAACACTCTGTTTATTTGTGCTACAAAATTCCAGTGAGATTATTCCACTAGCGACCAGATCGCGAATAAAGTGATAATGAGTGTCGATGTGCTTCGTTCTACTATGAAAAACATGATTTTTTGTCATAGCAATTGTCGCGTTGTTGTTACACCATATTTCTGTTGGACCAATCTATTGTTGTTGAAAATCTTCTAACAATTTCATTAACAAAATAGCTTGACAACATGATGAAGTTGCAGCCATATATTCTGCTTCCAAAGATAACAAAGCTACTGTATCTTTTTTTTTGAACTCCGTGAAACTGCTCCAGAGACATGACTAAAAGAGTTGCCAGATGTGCTATTGTGATCATCCAAGCTACCTGCCCAATCACTATTAGTAAAGCGAACTAATCTGAAAAAACCTGATACTTTTGAATACCAAATTCTGTGACTTGTTGTGCCAGGAACATATCGCAAGATCCTCTTGGATGCACCTAGGTGTTGCTTCAAAGGACTATGCATAAACCTTGAAATCAAACTGACAGAAAATGTTATATCGGGCCTTGTGTGCGATAAGTAGTTTAGACCACAAACTAAGCTTCTATAATGTGAAGCATTTGTTGCACCTGTACCATTATCAAGTACCGAATTCTCATTCATATTTATATGCATGGGAGATGGATTACAATTCAGCATGTTGAACATCTTTTAAAGTTCAGTTGCATATTTCCTTTGTGAAATAAAAATTCCATCTGAATCTTGTCTCACCGTAAGCCCAAGAAAATAATGCAGCATACCTAAGTCAGACATCTCAAAATTTACTCATCACGCAACTATTAAATTCAGAACAATAGATTCACGAGATACCATATATATTCATCGACATAAAGACTGACAACCAAAAAGTCACTATGATCTTGATTCTTAACATAAAGTGTAGGTTCATTTTCACTTTTCCTGAAATGTTGCTCTTTGAAAAAAAAGAGTCATTTTCTATACCATGCCTGTGGTGCTTGCTATAAACCGTAAAACGCCTCTTCAATCTATATACTTTTCTTTTTCCTTCAATAAAAATCAAGCCTTTAGGTTGGCAAACATAAACTTCTTCTTGTAAGTCTCCATTTAGGAAAACAGACTTAACACCAAGTTGGTACACATGCCAACCAAGTTGAGAAGCCAAGGCTACAACAGTTCAAACTGTTTTTAAGCGAGCTACTGGTGAGAACGTTTCATCAAATTCAATGCCTTGTTGTTGTGAGTATCTTTTTGAAACAAGTCGATCTTTATGCCTTTTGACACTTCCATCAACATTGTACTTTGTTTTGAAAATTCATTTTAGCTCGATAACATTCGTCCCTCCCGGCAAATCAACTAGCTCCCAGGTCTAATTTTTCTCGATAGCCTTTATATCTTTAATCATCACGTCTTGCCACTATGGTTGCTTTGCAGCTTCTACATAACATATCGGTTTGGCAGCTAACAGGGCAAAACTACAAGATGCATAAAAATCTTGCAGTGACCTGAACTTTGTTGGTGGCGTCTCGCTGGATGACGGCGCAGGTGGAGAACAAGAGCTTAATGGAGTTGAATTGTTTCTACTTTCATGAGAAATATGGTCAGTATTACTGCTATCAGGTGAGGAAAGATTAGAACTTGTTGTTTCAAGTATCCATGCATGCCCTACTTCTGCGTGAGCTGGAATATGGATGACTAAATCTTCTTCCTTGTCGTTCGACTCCTAGGCTGATTCTTCATTAAATACAACAGTTCTGCTAATAATCACTTCGCCACTAGTAGGATTATATAGCGTATATGCTTCTGATTGAGGACCGTAACCAATGAAAAGACATTTCTCTGATTTTTCATCTAGCTTAGAACGCAAACTAACCAAAGCATAAGCTATACAACCAAAAACATTCAAGTGACCTACTCGTGGTTTCTGTCATATCCATGCTTCGTATGGAGTTTGATTCAAAATGAATTTTCTTGGATAGAAACTGCAACCATTGCTTCTTCCCAAAAATCAACAGGAATTCCCCTTGCATTAAGTAAGCTTCTGGACATCGAAACCACAATACAATTCTTTCGCTCGGCGACTTCATTTTTTGTGGTGAGTAAGGTGTTGTAAGCCCCCTGAAAATTCCATTCTCTTCACAAAATAAAATAAAATCATTAGATAAAAATTCACCATCACGATCTGTGTGAAGAACCTTAATGTTGCAGCCTATTTGCTTTTCCACGAGTGCCTTGAATTTCCTAAAATTCTCAAATGCCTTTGATTTGAAATTTCGAAAATAAGCTCAACTCATATGGCTATAGTGATTAGTAAATAGAAGAAAATACCTATTCCCACCAAGTGACTCTCGATTTTCATTAGTCCACATAGGTCGGCATGTACAAGCACAAGACAACGGGCAACTCTCCATGATTTTCCTACAGAAAATGATTTCCTACTTTGTTTCCCGAAGATGCAACCCTCACACAAATCAAGATCACCCATTTCTAGTGACCCAACTACCATATTCTTCCTAGTCAATAAATTTAGCCCATTAATGTTCAAATAGTCATAGAGAAGATAACACCATTAAGGGGAAACATGTTATTTTGGGTCATAGGCACAACTGCTATAGTCTGTCCAGACTTAATATCACTGACAACATGTCACGACCAGAGTCTAGACCCCAGGTGAGAGCGGCGTCGTTGACCTCAAAAAGGTCGCTGACAATTCTACTTACGTCATTCTTACTTCGTCTAGGTTAATTTTAGTAGAAAATTTGAAAATTCTCATCAATTCCATAAATATTGACGGGGCATTAGTCACACCAAACGACATTACCAAAAACACATAATAACCATATCGAATTTGAAAATTATCTTCAGAATCTCACTCTCTTTCACTCTTTACTAGTGATAACCCAACCGAATGTCAATATTAGTGAGATAAATTTCTATTTAGAGTTGATCAAACAAATCGTCTATCCTTGAAATATAATAAATATTCTTAATGGTAGCTTTATTCAATTGCTGATAGTCAATACACATTCAAAGAGAACCATTCTTCTTTTGAACAAACAACACTGGAGCTCCTATGATGAGATAATCAATCTAATAAAACCCTTATCCGACAAATCTGTCAATTGATTTTTTAATTCCTTCAGTTTTGTAGGGGTCATTTTCAATACGGTAAGGAGGAATAGATATAGGTTGCGTTTTTGTGAAAAGATCAATACTGAAGTTTTTTCCCTTTAAGAAGGAATATCGGGAAGATCATCAGGAAACAATTTCAGAAACTCATTTACAATCAGAACTGAATCAACTGTAGGGATTTCAAAATCTATATCCATAACCCAATCAATATGATAAATGTAACCCTTAGAAATTATTTTCCTAAATTTTAGGCAAGATATAAATAGACCTTTAAGAACATAATATCTCATTACCATGAAATGATAGGTTCATTCGGAACATTGAATATGACCAATTAGGTCCTACAATATATGGAAGCATAACATGCATAAAGCCAATTCATCTTGAGAATAGCATAAAAATCTAACATATCAAGATCTAAAAGATCAGCATGAGTGAATCTATGAGAAACGGATAAAGGACAATTTATATAAACTCTCTAAGCCACAATCGCATCAACCACGGGGGTAGAGACATGAAAGGGATTAGAAACTATTTTGAAACCAACATCAAATCTCAGGGGCTTATTAGGAGTAACAAACGATAACGTAGAACCCAGATCACCAAGTAAGACATAAACATCAAGATGAAAAACTTTCAACATACCGGTCACCATGTTTGAAGAACCTTCACGATCAGTTTGAGTCTAAAGACCATAAAATTTATTTTGCTTCGAAGCACTCGCATGTTACCACTCAGTTGAACTTGTCTACCATCCCTTCCCTTAGTAGCAAACAATGGGCTATCTCTCATCTTATGCCTATTGTTTCCACAACTAAAGCAATCATCCATACATGCCAAACATTTGCCATCATGCTTTTTACTATACCTTAAGCAAGCAGATATAGATGATCCATTACCACCACCTCCTTGAGGCTTAGGATTAAACAACCTATTTTTGTTAAACTAATATTTGAAACATCAGGAAAACCTTGACCAGAAAATTTTTGCCAGAATTGAAAACGCCCCTATCCACCAGACCTAAAATAAAAAAAAAAAAAGTCACCATTATTAGTCCTTGCTCTCTTGGACTCTTTTGACCTTTCTTTAGTTTTTTTATCCTTACTATTTTGGGCATGTATTATCAAACGATAGATATTTATTTTCTTGATCAACATGTAGGTATGACAATCAAGTTGAACACACCTGACACTAACTTTCTCATCCTTGCCCTCAAATCGACAACTATAATTGGATCATACTTATCCAATTTAGTTAATGGTAAACATCTCACATACCTAGATTATTTTTTACATATGTCATAACTTAAATGATGCATTAAACTTTTCATGATTTATGAACTAAGCTTATCTGACTAATACATATGTTTTACTTGATCATGTATTATCATATTTTGTGTTTATGTTTATGCATTTTCCAAATATTTTGTATATTCTAAGTACTGACACATATATTTCTTGTGCCTATATTGTTTTATAATATAGGATCTGACGTTTATCCATCTAGTCTTGGCTGGTTGGATTGATTAACATTTGCTAGTAGATTGGTGAGTCCTCATGGTTTGAGGGCATGACCAATTTATTAGTTTATGTTTTTTCTTGTCATTTCAATTTTCAGACTTATTTCATGAGGTAGGGTATGTCTTAGACACACATGTGATTAGGAGAGACTTATGTCAGACTTAATATGATTTCATATTTTTAGTCTTATATTCATATTCTCTTATGTTGAGATATTGCTTTTGACACTTATTCAGTTTTATGCGATTCATTTGATTTGGTATATGGTTATCTTAGTTTCATGCTTATGTAAAGTTGTTTTTTTAGGGTTTGTTAGGATCATATTCGATATGTCACGTTTAGGGGATAGTTGGATCATGAGAGAAGTATTCAAGACAACTCACTGCCTTCCACCAATGCATCTGTTCATAAAAGAAAGAGGACTTGTCATCTACTTTCCTACCTAAAAAGGTTAGTCCTTTTTGATTAAATTACTCAATATAGATGTACATCCTCGGAATCGAGAGGAAAATTATGTATTAATGCAAAATTTTATTTCCAAGTAAGTGTGTATTAGCATGATAGCACACTCAACACTAAAAGGTTACTTTCACCATAACAATTGCTACTAGTTGTTGGTATCAATGTCTAGGTCACCACTCGAAGACTGAACCTCAAAAAACTCTTCTTCAAAAGTTTATATCTAATCGTTGGTGTCTGGATTAGATAATTTGATCTTCTCAATCAAAGAGCGAGTTTTGTTGGTTCCTTCATCAACATCGAGGGACCCATCTTTGACAGTCTCTTAGGTCTAAAGTAATATATGTTGAGCTTCATGGAGACTTTTAAGATCAAATCTATTGGTCCATAATTTAGTATTTTTTATCAGGGTTCTAATTCTGAGAAAAAATAGCTTTGTTCTTGTCGAAAGATTCACCTTTTCAAAATTTGGATCTGCTCTTTAAGAGTCGACTCTCTTTTAACACGATTTTTGATAATGTTCGTTCGCTCAACATTTTCTTTCTTAAGAAAAGACACCTTATTGGATAGATGATTGTCTTTTTAATGTAATCATCTCTTTCAATTTTAGCCGCAACAAGCTCAACTATTAGTGCCTTGATATCGGAATAGGGTTAACGCTTCAACAACTATTTGTCTAATCGGTAATTAATGTTCTCTAAATGTTCTTACACTTATAGACCTAACGTTTCTTTATCCCTCAATATTCACGGCAACCACTCTACACCCAATACACTAATTTGGGAATGTAAAATTAAATTATGAAATTAGATATGAGGTGAACTCCGCAAAAGGTAAAAAAGGGAAAGTATGTATGATCAAATACATTGGTGCCATTCTTTACATAATCATTCAAAAACATGAAGCATAAAAAATATCCATACCAAGTACTGCAAATCCTTCAATAAATTGACTAATAGTTACAAAAATCTTTGTGAACATGACCACGAACAATTATCAAATTTCAGAAATAGATATGAAAAGTTTATTTTTTCTTACGAAAAAAAGACAAAAAATATCCCTATTAGAAATGATTCATAAATACCCACATTCCATCTTTAGGTCCAAAAATATCCTTTATGTTTTTTTGGAATAAACTTAACTCTCAAACTAATAGAATTAAAGTTAAGTTTTGACTCTTTTAAAAGAGCTATGTGGCTTTTCCTAAGTGGTCCACAAATTTTGATTTCAAAAATAATTATACAAAAACCCACCCACCCAATTTTTAGAGGCATGTGGCATTTTTTAATCATATTCAAAAGTTGAACTCTGAATAGGAGTTGAGTTCTAAATTTACTCTCAATACTCGGTCCAAATTTTACTTTAATTGGCCTTTATTGATTAAGAAATAGATTGAGCTACAAACTGAATTAAAAATTATCTGTTAGGGTTGAAGGTAATTGACACCACTAACATAAAACAAAACAGCCAAGTCCGATTTTCTCTTTTTTTCTATAGGGATATCTGCAATGTACCGTGTAGCAAGTATAGGCAACAAATTAAATTTAGTGCGGGCTCAGAAGGAGAAGGGATTCAAGCAACATACATGTGCAGTAATAGCTGCAAAAGTTGACCAGGGTTGGTTCTAAAAGTTGGTGGTTGGGATTTTCATATTATTATTTTCAAATTAGGATTTGTGAACCATTAGAAAATGTCACGTTTTTTTAAAGAGTCAAAACTTGACGTTAATTTTGTTATTATAAGAGGTAGGTTTGATAAAAAAAATATTAAGGTGTCGTTTGGTTACTAGATAAGGGTTGAGTTATTCAGGTATAAAATGTTACATAAACTTTACAATGTTTGGCATTTTTGTGAAAGTATAAAATTCAATACACATATACTATGTTTGGTTAGAAAAATAGAAAACAACATAACTAATACATGTTTAAGTTATGAGTCAATCTATGTATTATTATTTTATGTAGGGTAAAAGATGGAATAAGTTACACCTGAATCAAAAATATATGGATAATTTTACCCTTACTCTCAATCAAGTATACACCACTTCCTTTTAAATAAAATTTAGATTCTCTTTTCATATTTTTACATCTAGAATAACTCTTCATCTTCTAGGCAAATAGATTGAAAAAGCTTTCAAGCTAGCATTCTTTCTTTGAGGTTAGAAGTATGAAACTCAAAATTTGGCTGATTTTTTTTCTTCTCCTCCTATTTTATCTTTTTTTGTTTTTCCTCATGTTAATCTGACGAGAGACGAATGAAATTATAGATCTTCTAAATATTTTCTAGCTAAGTTGATGTTTGAGTACACCCCAAATTTTCATTTGGGTTTTGTTTTGTTTGTTCAAAAATTGTGATTTCTGACAAATAGGTTCATTAAGTTGATGTTTGAGCACACCCAAATCGTGCTTACATAAGCTTAGTTACATTAGCTTCTAAAATTGTAAAATATGAATATTTATTTGAATTTTGACAAAATTATATTAGTATTATAGTTATTGAAGCCAAATAAAAATAAATATTTTACCCATGTTTTTCCATATTACTTTTCTTTTATAATAAAATTAAACATTCTAGTATGGAACCATCTATTACCTTCATGTATCTGCAACAATTAGTTAGTTAACATGATTGATTCTTTTTTTCTTTTGGGATTCAATTTGATAATGATGTTGCAATTTTTAAATGGGAAATATGTGTAAATGGACTCTCAGTAATGGCACGATGTTGAATGCTTTATCATCCTTGAAGAGATTGTGGTGCATCCATATATTGTCCTTATTTGTTTTTTATGGCTATTTACAATATGTTATTAAGAAAACAATCTAGAAATAGGCAGGTCATTCGATGTTATATGAGTGCTAGAATTCCTAAAAGTGTGTCTCATCTAAATGTTCTCATTCATGACAATGATATTGTATCTATTGAAAAACTTAGGATGGATAAAATGTCCTTCACATTTTAGTCTCCTTAGCCAAGAATATTGGAGGGTTAACTGACAGTAAAAATATGTCGAGTATTGAAAAGTTAGCAATGATCTTTAATCTTAAATATTTGTGCTCATCACGAGAAGAACAGGTCTGTCAAAATTGATTATATAAGATCGATATGGAGTGTAAGTCGATCCTTTAATGAATGTCTAAGAGCTATTATAGTAGTGACTAGAACAGATGATTAAAATAACTTTAGTATAATATGATGAATAAGTATAATCAACTAAGAGGTTAGAGGGAATAAACTTTAAAAAGCAAAACAAATGATAAAAATGAATATCTATTTGTTAAATAATGATGTTAATTACAAGATATTTGTACTCTATTTATTAAAGACCTTGATTCTGACATAAACAGAATAATTTATGAAAAATTATTAATATTAGAAATAATAGAAGAAACAATCCATTCTTAAACTAACTCTAGTATTACTTGTTAAACCTAATTGAGAGTTTGTGATAGAAATCTCAACTTTATTTATGTATTACCTGATTGGGAGGGATCAGCCATTGATGGTCGCATATTGCGAGTTGGTGTTGTACGAAGAAATGAGTTGAAAATACATCAGAGTATGCTAAATAATACGCAGATCCTTAATTATTTTACTACATCAAAATAAATAATATTTTAAAGTAATAATATTATAGTTTACATTCTTAGACAATTACTATCTATGCGATGGAGGATATACAAATGGAAATGATTTTGATATCTCTCTACCATGGATATAGATATTGGCTAAAGGATTGGTAGGGTGACAATCCATCACCTCAATGTCAAGAAGAGCTCTTTAATATAAAGCATGCTAGGGTGCGTATTGTTATAGAAAGAGAATTTGAATTATTAAAAGGACATTGGAAAATTCTTAGAAGTCCTTCGTGGTACTCGATTAAGGTTCATAATAGAATTATTAGTGCATGTTGTTTGATACAGAATTTCACTCGAAGTGAGATGAAAGTTGACCCCTTAGATGTGGAAATAGAATTCCACATAAAGAATCAACATTAACATAAAAATATTAGAACAATTGAAGCATCTGGAGAGTGGACCACTTGGAGGAAATGAATTAACTCAGTCTATGTGGAATGAAAGATTGGAAAATCAATCTTGATAATTTGAAACTATGTGGTCACTTTTGGTATGCATATGCACTTTTGTGTTTGGTTTTTCGTTCACTGTAAAATGTAATAACTTTAATTATTTTATGAAAATGAATGGTCAATCTTTTTTTATGTCTCTCATTGTTGTTTGTACAGACTAATAGTGAATCTTAATGTGTATGTATTATTTTTTTTAATACAAATAGTTAATTTGCATATGTCTTCACATTATCTTTTTCCCATATCAATCTAGTTGTATTACGATTTATTTGATTATAATTGAATTAATTTGCTAGTAAGTTGTAACTTAGTATGGTTTCTCGTCATCCTAACCTAGGATTGAAATCTCTATCACATGTTGATTGTAAAATAAGAGCATGAAAAAAGAGTTATGCAGCCATATCTTAGTTGATGATTCAAAAGTTTGGAATGAGTTGATAAAGGCTATTTATATTTATTTTAAATTATTATAAAATTGCTAATTATATTTTATCTTGGTGAATGGATCTTTGTCTTTGGAATATCGTCGGTTACTTCATGTACTTGTTCTTTATATTTTTAGGTTGATCCAAATGACAAGTAACTGAACTTAAAACAATGACCATTATTTGATGACGCCGAAGGGCCAGAACATGTTGTTGAAGATATAAAAAGAAATGATACTCAAAAAATTAACACGTCTATGAGATTTCCTATTTTTTTTTGACGTAGATGATTCTTCAGGTACAAGAGAAGATCAACTTGCTCAAAAGGAACTTAATGTATCAATAGAAGCAACATAAAATCCATTTACTGCTCAAAATGAACCTAATGGATCAGCTGAAGCAGCACAAAGTCATTCACAACTCAAAAAAGTGAAACCCATCAATCTTAGAAACAAGGTAATAATTATAAAGTATCGTCTTCTAAAGTAAACAAAAAAGGTAGGTGCAAAAAATAGATAAACATTTGAACATGATAATGAGATTGTTATCAAAGGTCTAATGGAGGCGATGAAATAATTCACTCAAAGTCATGATAGGCAAATGACTTCTTTAATTGACAACTAGGAGAGCGTGATCTATATGAGATTCATGGTAAGATATTTTATATTATTAGACTCCATGTATTTGAAATGTGTAACTCGGATGAACCACTCAAGGAAATAATGGAAATTACTCAAGATATAAAGAGGATGGAGTTCTTCTTAAGCATTAGTGAAGTTGAACGTCACAGTATGGTATGGATGATTATTAGTGATTAAATTTTTGTATCACTGAATGATTTTTGTGTAGCTATTTTGTAAGGTCTAACCATAGTGAGATTTTTTGTTACCTAGTAGAATGTCCACGAGTGTACATATATGTGAATGTTGTTGGCTTAAAGTGGGTTGCTTTTTTTTTTTATATAACAAATGCATCACTAAGTTTAACATTAGTGTTTTTGTAAGTATCCAACTCAGATGCGCTTCATATTGCTTAAAAAGATGACCCAAACGGTAAGTTCATCATCTTCTCCAAGGTGTTTTTAATTCCTTCTTCTCCGAGATTGTATTGAACTTTCCTTTTCTCGCAGACTATTCATTAATTAGAGTAGTCACAAAAGTCCAGTCAGACATATAATGTACTCAGATGATATCGTCAATTGATTATATGTTGTTGGAACTGGTATTCAGCTTTTGAAACTTGGTGTTTTTCATGGAAGGATAATGTTACAAAAATAGGACATCTCTTTTGAAAACAGAGTTAATTGTATGTCATTGTTGTATGTGTCCGTTTTTGTAATTCAACAATGAAGTATGTAAGTTCAATTCACTTAATGAAGATGGGTCTAATACTTAAACAATGAATTATGCGCGAGTAAATTCTTTCCTTATGAATGGTTTCTCCTTTAGCTTAATTTGTATGAGATCGAATTCAAAAGGGCAACAAATTTTTTAAACCAATTTCAGAAGTGCAACATTTTTTTTATCAAACCAAAAGGGCCGTAAATTTAATACCGTCTATATTAGATTTCATGCCGCAAGAAATAGAATTCAATGAACCTTGTAAGGCGCAACATACTTGAGCCTTGTAAGGCTCAAATGACATGCGCCTTACAAGGCTCAAGGTTTCAACGTTTTGTAGGATTTTTAAAAAGAAATATTTGATCGCTTTTGAAATGTCTGTGAGATAATCTCTTTTGAATCTAATTGAGCTTTGTGTTTTTATATATTCTTTTGTTGTCATAACATAGAATTTTCCTTTGAAGGTAAAAGAAGAAGAAAATATTGATTAGAGTCAAATCTTATTTTGATGGCTTTGTGGCAGTTGTGTTTTGATTGTGAAGCAGACTGATACAAGTATCATCTAGTTTATCATCTTGTGGTGGATTTTATTTACTAGTAATATTCTTCACTTTCCTTCTTTAGCTGGTTGTTTGGATTGAGTATGTTATGACTAGTTGAAAGCGATCGAATATACACATATACTTAAAAAGGCTGCATTAGTTTCCGCGTCTTGCGGTAGCAAACCTAATTTATATGGTGTCGATATTTGTTGCTTTTAGTTTGATTAAAAATTTTGATTTCCTTTCAGCTTTGAACTCTAATTTGTTTAGTCATGTAGTTGAGCATAAGGTGCTCTAAAATAAAGAATATCACATTATTAAGAAAGCACTACCGGATTAGAGGTGACAGGTTGACTACAGTAATTGTGATAAAGACATGAATTTGGATTCTTCAAATTGATAGTTGGTGAAAGTAACAATTCTACATTTTAAAGAGAAACTAATGCACAGTCAATTAAAGAATGGTAATAAAGCGCATATGATAAAAGGCCACAACTATCTATGACTCATACACCATTGAATTGGTCAGCATTGGAGATAATAAATTCGTTCGTCCTTTAGTTAGTAATAGAAGATTCATGCAATTCTTCGGAGTGAAGAACAATTGAATAGTAATCCTGTTATGGATTTTGAAGTAAGACTTTGAGCAGCTAATAGCACATTTAGGCTTGGAAGATTTGAGAATAGTTGGAAAATTGTGTGGTCAAAACAACAGTTAAAATGCCTAACTATACAAACTCAAAATGAAAGCCTCAAAATCGAACCAACCATCCTATTAGACCAAAAAGGACCTTTCATAGATAATCACATGCACTGAAGGATTCCTCATCCGATCACATTTTATCAAGAATATTGATGAAGTCGAACTTTCACTAAATTTTAAAGTTAAAACGCCTAATGAAACAAATTAAAAATTAAAAGTCTCAAAATCCAAAAAACCATCCTACTAGACCAAAAATGATTTCTGGAGCTAACCACTAAGGAAATTCTCACTGGATCACATTATACCAAGAATATTGATTGAAGTCGAACTTTGATAAAATTTCAAAGTTAAAACGCCTAATGACACACACTCAAAAAGGAAACCTCAAAAACTAAACCAAACATTATTATAAACCAAAAATAACCTTCTAGAGCTAACAACGCTGAAGGAATTATCATCCAATCATGTTTTACCAAGAATATTAACTGAAGTTGAACTATGGATAAATTTTAAAGTTAAAACACCTAATGACCCAAATTCAAAACAAGAACCTCTAAATCCAAACAAATCATCCTACTAGATTAAAAATGACTTTTGGAGCTAACCGCACTAATAGAATTCTCATCTGATCATGGTTTACCAAGAATATTGACTGAAGTTGAACTTTAACTAAATTTTAAAGTTAAAACACCTAATGGTAACTTAAAATGAAAGTCTCAAAATCCAAACCAATCATCCTATTAGAGAAAAAATGAACTTACGAAGTTAACTACGTTTATGGAGTTCTCATTCGATCATGCTTTACCAAAAATATTGACTGAAGTTGAACTTTGGCTAAATTTTAAAGTTAAAACGCCTAATGGCACAAACTCATAACAAAATCCTTAAAATCCAAACCAACCATCCTACTAGAATAAAAATGACCTTCTAGAGCTAAAACTGCTGAGGAAATTCTCCTCCAATCATATTTTACCAAGAACATTAACCGAGGTTAAATTTTGACTAAATTTTAAAGTTAAAATTCCTAATGGCATAAACCAAAAACAAAATATACGAAACCCAAACCAATCATCCTACTAGACTAAAATTAACCCAAACCAATCATCCTACTAGACTAAAATTAATCTTCCAGAGCTAACCGTGTTGGCGGAATTCTCATTTGGTCAAATTTTATCAAGAAATTTCTAGGGCGATTTTCAAATTTCTCAAACTATGTACTTCCATAAGATTGTCCCGAATGGACATTATCTAGAGGATTCACCTAAATTTAAACAAACACAGTCCTTACATTGACAAGTAGGACACTCTCTTTTTGGTGTAGGAGAAGAACACTGAACTTCAAATTGTAGCGCATATGGTTTATGTCGGTTAATAGTAAACATACCACACAATATGACTTTTTCACCTAGCTTATGTTTTGTAAATATGTCATGGTTTATATATTGCACTGATATCTTCATGATTTATGAACTAAGCTTATCTATTGATATATATGTTTTACTTGGTCATGCATTATCATGTTCATGTTTATGCTTATGTATTTCTCCATATTCAGTACATTCATAGTACTTATGCATATAGTTTTGGTGTCTATATTGTTTCATAATATAGGGTGTGATGTTTCTCTATCTGCTCTTGAATAGTTGGAGTGATCAATATTTGCTAGATGATTAGTGAGTCCTCATGGATCAAGGGCATGGCCAATTTATTAGTTTATGTTTTCTCTTCTCATTTCAGTTTTTAGACTTATTTCGTGAGCTAGGTTTGTCCTAGCCACACCTATGATTAGTAGAGACTTATGTCAGACTTCCTATGATTTCGTATTTTTAGTCTTTCATTTATATTCTCTTATGTTGAGATAATACTTTTGAGACTTATTCAGATTCATGATTCATTTCAGTTTGGTATGTTGTTATCTTAGTATCATGCTTATGTCAAATGGCTTGTTTAGGGTCTATCTAAATCCTATTGACCATGTCGCGTCTAGTGGTATTTTAGGTTGTGACAAAAGCATCCAGGATAACTCACCACTTTCGAATGTAACTATTCATAATTGAAAGAAGACTTTTTAACTAGTTTCCTACCAAATAGGGTTAGTCCTTTTTGAAAAAAATATTCAATGTAGATATGCATCCTCAAAATCGAGGGGAAAACAATGTATTAATGCAAAACTTTGTTTCCAAGTAAGTATGTATTAACATGATGGTACACTCGACGCTAAGGTTACTGTCGCCATAATAATGAAACTGCTAGTCTAAGACACATATTAGTTGTTGGTATCATTTCCTAGATCACCACTCGAAGACTCAACCTCAAAAAAATCTTCTTCAAAAGCAAATGCCTAATCTTTGGTGTCTAGATTATATAATTTGATCTCCAATCAAAGAGCGAGCATTCTTAGGATCCATTCATCAACAACAAGAGACCCATCTTTGACAGCCTCAAAGGTCTAAAGTAGCACTGGTCGAGCATCTTGGATTCTTTCAAGGTCAAATCTATTGGTCCATAATTTAATACTCTCCGTTTCACAAAGAATAGTCAAGTTTGACTTGACACGAAGTTTAAGAAAATAAAGAAGACTATTAATAATGTGGTCCTGAATTAAAGTTATGTCAAGTGTATAAAATTGCACTTTAATCTTGTGGTCTTAAGTATGTCATGTGAAAAGTTGCTATCAAAAAAGAAAGAGATCATTCTTTTTTAAACAGACTAAAAAGAAAAGGAGATCATTCTTTTTTAAACGGATGAGTATTTTTATATGGCCTCTAAATTTGAGAAAAAATGAATTTGTTCTTTTCGAAAGATTCATTCACCTTTCCGAAATTTGGATGTGCTCTTTAAGAACAAACTCTCTCTTAACACAATTTTTGACAGTGTTGGCTCACTCGAAATTTTCCATTCTTAAGAAAAGGCACCTTATTGGACAGATGATTGGCTTCTTTGGTGTAATCATCTCTCTTAACTGTAGCCGCAACAAGCTTAACTAACTTTAGTGCGTCGATCTCGGGATAAATGTTAAGGCTTCCGCAACTATCAATTTGTTTAGTGGGTGACTAATGCTATCTAAAGCTTCTTGAACTTATGCTCCAACGTTTCTTTAGCCCTCAGGCAACCACTCTACACCCAATACACTAATATTATAAAATAAGGTATGAGGCAAACTCGGCAAAAGGTTTAAAAGGGGAAAATAAGTATGATCGCCTTGGTGCCACTGTATGCATATATAATCATTCAAAAATATGTAGTAATAACAATATCAAGGCCAAGTACTACAACTCCTTCCATCAATTTTCTAGTAGTTGCAAAGACACTTGGCAACTTGTGACAGTTATAAAATTTTTAAAATTAGATATGACAAGTTTAATTTTTTAAGGGAAACTTTCGTATATAGTCACTCAAAAATAGCTTAATTACGCTTCATATCTATAGTTTTCTAATCACAATTCTTAGTTACATGTTATAGGGAGGAAAACGACGAGCGAGATTGGGAGAGGGAGGAGAGATGGGAGCGAGATTGGAAGAGGGAGGAGAGAGGGTTATAATTTGTACAATTCGCACGTACATTTATGTAATTCATATTTTTTTAATAATCGAGTAATATAAAGTATAAAAATATAATAGAAACTCTCAAAATAACGAATTGATACAAACATAAACATATGAATTCAAACAACTCTACAAATTATATCATATAAATTACATTATATAAATTATATCATACAAAAATACAAATTTCATGGTATAAATTATATCATACAAAATCTGAAACTACACGTTTATACATACTTTAAAAATTATACACAAATTGAATGTATATGGTGATAAAACAAAAAATCCAAAGGAAATCATCGTCATATACAAATAAAAATCATCGTATACAAACACAAATCAAATGAAGAATTGTTAGTTGCGAATTATATAAATATGTTGAATTATACAAATGTAGCTAATTATACAAACTTGAAGTCAACCCACGTATTTAATGGTTAATGTTAGTCGCGAGTTGTAATTATAACAAATTTTAACTATGATGACTAATTAAATAGAAAAAATTTGATTAACCGCATAATTTCCTTTTTTGGGTCTTCCTTTGTTTTGGGTTAACATAAAATAAACCATACAAATAGTATAGTTGAATATTAGACCTACAATAAACTAGGATTGCTTTTATTCACATATTAAGGGAGAGCAGGCGAGAGTGTTTTCTTCACGCGAGACACTTAGCTAGAATTTGTCAAATCAATCAAAACTCACCATGAGATTGATTGTGGTTATACAATAAACACTGAAAACTTGTCCCATTCTCAAATGGATCAAGAATGCTTTCATTTACATTGTCTTGTTGAGACTAGACTGTTTTGTTAAGTCATCTGAAAAGTATGCTATTACAAACAAATTCTATACGATGAAAGAATCTAACTCAAAAATAAAAGGCATTAAAATAAATCCATTC